CAACCAGTTTGGGTGATAAAAAGAGTTTTATGGCACTTGCAGAACAATAAGGTCATACTAATAATATTACTACTAATGCAATAATAAGGCCAATAAGAGCCGAAGATTAGTAGAGGTATTACAAGAGAGTAACAAACACAAAAAAGAAGGATGGGAGATAAGGACGGTAGGTGTTTAAAAAGAAAGAAAAAGCAAGCCACGCCAGATCACAAGCCAATCAACAATGGGCAAAATAGGAGGCGGGCTGTTTCAACACTACCTTTCAGGATCAACCCAGGTTGAGTCAGATACAGTATCTCAGCAGACAGACAGCGACAGACAGACAGACTCAATTAAATCACTTGTCCAAGCAGGAATTTTTGGTTTTAGTTTTAGTAGAGGTTTTACAGCGCTCGCAACTGCATAAGGTCATAAGAGAGCCAAGGGGTGAATTTCAACAGAGAAGTCCTTACAGGGAATCAGACTTACTCTGCTTACCTCTCTAGCTTCAGCAGCACAAAGTCTGCTTCGACTATCAAGGCACCCCGGAAATAGCGGGTAACAAGAGTGACAAACATACATAAAAAATAGAGGAATATGACGATAGTAGTATTAATAGTAAGGATTAGGAAAGAAAAAGGAGCAGTTCCCTGTTGTAGTTCAAGCACAGTTATGAGCATGACATTGTTAGATCAGCTCATTTACAATTCTACTGTGCACTAGAAGGAGAAATGTCGCCCCTTTCGGAATGGCCTAAAGACACTTCAGTCAGTGGCACCGCCCCCGGGGGGTCAAGTAGTAGGAATGAAACTTTCCCATTCTGCAAGCAACATTTGAGAAGAGCCCATCCATCACACCAGAGATGTCTGAGACTGTAGTATGCCACATACAAGTTATACTAGATGTATTGACTTGCAAAGACAATGAATACATGTAGTATTAACTGGTCATGATAACCACATAACGTCTGTAAAATCAAATCAAAGACATTATAATTCACTATCGATAACTCTACAGAAGAAACTCAATAGGTCTGCAAACAGAGTCAAGAACAAGATGGTCCACAAACAGTAACAAAAAAAAAAGAACGAAACAAATGAAAAAAGCCACATTCAGAAGAATTTTTATCTTCAATTTTAATTTTACTTCACCTTCTAGGTATATTCAAAAATTTCAACATCTTACATTACACTTTCTTTTGTAACAACCCTCTAGTTTTCGGACACACACACAGCCTTCACGCAGTCACACACTATGGGATGTCATGCCCTGTATGAAAGACACGAGTCAGTCATTTGCAGAATGCCCTTGATTAGTTTTAGCATACATCCACTGAAACACATGTAGTAATTTACATATATTGAAATGTGTGGAACAATCTACATTGCAACACGTGTAGTACAAATATAATTTATATTATATTGAAACACAGCAGTACCAATGTAAAGTACGTTAAACCATGTGGGGCACAGATGTCATTTACACTGAAACATGTGTAGCAAAAATGTAAAATTACATAGAAACACAACACACTTAGTGCAAATGTAACTTACATTGGAACACATGTAGTGCAAATGTCATTTACACTGAAACACATGAGGTACTAAATGTAATTTACATTGAAACAAGTGTAGCAATTTACACAACCAACAGCATACACACTAAAAAAAATCCAACTGCATAACCAGAGCCAGAACAAAACTACAGCTCAATGCATAATGAAATACATGTGTACTACATAGTAATTTCCCAGTTCAAAACTGATTAAAAGGGACGAATTTCGCTCCTACACAACAAAATACAAAGGAATACGCACACCATAATAACAAAAAAAAATTTAAAAAAATCAACTATACTTTGATTTGGCCGACTGAGGGGCAAAAACTTAAATTCTGTCTCAATGTCTCAACACCCCACCCCCACCTTCTTAACCTTCTTCCCTAAGGTATGCCCACCCCCTCCCCAATCCAGTTTATTTCTGTTTACACACTAGTTCCAGCTCATGCCTGGAGATATTATTATCATGTGCATCTTGTGGAAGTGCAAGAACAAAATGTTTACATTTGGCAAGGGAGCATGTAATCCCATAGAAAAACCTAAGGGAGGGAGGCAAATGGAAATTCTAAAATGAGTTTGATTATACACATGATCTGTAAAACTAAGAACAACGATTTCAGGAAGGCCAAAACATTTCTATACAATTTTACATTTTTGATGTAAAAGATACCTTGTTTCACTTCACTTTTGGAATGTTGCAACAAAGAGGAAAACAAAGTTTGTTCTAACCTCATTAATCTACAGTCATGGTAAAACAAGAAAAGCATGGAGTGGAGTGTAAGACAAATACCTGCCCGAAGACACCAAGACCTGCATCCACATTTAATTAACTCGGACACTTTAGAAGCATCGCATAGAACCCTCCAAAACTTTTGTTCCTTTGTTTTGAGTACTGTAAAGAGACGCAAACTGATATAAAACAACCGAAGTGACTATTCCCAGTGACGGTACAGAAACTACTCCCAGTGACAACGGAACTCTTTTGCATTAAAAAAATCAGAAGTCTTTGCACCGTAGACTCTCTTCTCACTTCAGTACTTTTGTTCTCTTCTCTTACTTAGGGCCATAGAGTTACCCCCTTTTAGTGCCTATAGTGTACATCTGAGCTGAGGGCTTAGACTTGACCGCAGAATAGATCTAGAATCTAGAACTAGATCTAATCTAGAAGAAAGAAGAATCGGGAAGGATTTCTATCTGTCCTGTACCATGGTCTCCAAAATGGATCGTAGATCTATACGTACATAAATAATAGAATGATAATTCCTTTTTCTTTAAAAA